ATCCAAAATTTCAGTTCGTTTTTTCATTTTCAATGAAATAAAAAACATGTACGTGTAGGTAAACGTTAAATATGTTCCTCTGGAGCCACTTTTTCAAAATTTGATCACATTTTGATGGCACAAAAACGCAAAACTTTGTTTGTGTAAAGATTTTCTCAATTTTTGAGAAAATTGTTAAATCAAATTTCGGAATAATTTTACTTTTACCTGAAGGTACATATTTTTCATTTACAAAAAATTAAAATAAACTATAGAAATGTTCATGGCTCTATTTCGTATTGGTTGAAAAAAGATAATTGCTGAACTAAATTTCCTCTAAATTATAATTAAAATTTTGCTTTTTTATTAGCTGTTGGTAAAAAATATAAAATGCCAATAAAAATGTAAAATTCTATGACAAATAATTATGAGGGGTAAAATAAATTTCATACAAAGCTTTATATAATTATATTTATTAAAAATTCTCAAAAAAAAAAAATAAATCAATACAATATTTAGATTTAATAGATTTTCCTACACTTCACCCCCGTATGAGTTAAACCACAAGAAGAACTTGTGCGAGGCAAGAATGGCTATTATTATTTGCTATGGCACTCTGGGACGACTTAAAGATGACTGATATTGCCATTTTATTTACAGGTGAGGAAAACTCCGATAACCCCACCTACCATCATTATTACAAAGTACAATCCATTTTTACAAATGTTTACTAGTTTCTATAAAAAAAACTCCTATTTTGATGAAAATATTATTCTCTAAAAATTATCTAATGAGTTTGACCATATAATACCTTTCCAATGTTACGGTCTAGGACGTTTCGACGCGCCCATTTCGACGCGGCCGTTTCGACGCGGCCGTTTCGACGCGGCCGTTTCGGCGCGACCGTTTCGACGCGAGGACAATTCGACGCCGGCCGTTTCGATGCCGGGCCGTTTCGACGCCAATTGTATTTTTGTAGGTAGGTAATAATTCATACAAAATAATATACAGTATGTCCCCCTAGGTTCGAATCATATGGAAAACTTTTTTATTATTAATTTTAGGAAAAAAGTTATTCTTCATAAAAAGTTCTGCATTATGATTAACCTAGAATACAGTCAACAAATATCAATTTTTTTCAGTGGTATACGAGGTTTGTCAAAAAATATGAGTTTTACTCAAGAGTAAAGTACCTTTATTCTTTATACGACTGATAAAATTTGATATCTGATGGTTGTATTTTAGGTTTTAGACCATGCTCGACTTTTTATAAACAATAACTTTTTTCCCAATATTAAAAATAAAAAAGATTTTCATATGCCGCCAATTTACGTAGACAGTTGGTGGCATATGGAAAACTTTTTTTATTATTAATACTAGGATAAAAAGTTATTTTTCATAAAAAGTCCAAAATGGTCTAAAACCTAAAATACAACCATCAAATATCAAATTTTATCAGTCGTATAAAGAACAAAGGTACGAAGGTACTTTACTGTTGAGTAAAACTCATATTTTTTGACTGTATATTTTTAAGTGCATCAATAAATTTTCATGTCGTTGGATGATTCATGGACATTTCGTTTTGAAGTCGTCTGTGTACAGTTCCGGCGTGGTTGTTCGTTCTGTCTGTACCCTCCAAAATGCGGTTATAGACAGACCACAATGTGATCAGAAACAGTGGATTGCGCCTTTTTCGACGCTGTCCTTAAGGACGTCCTACGTATAAGCCCTCAAACCATTCGATTAGAGGTTGCAACTCGTTAGACAATTCTCCAAATAAATGGTCAGTTGCAATATCCATGTCTTCTTTAGGAACAAATACCAAAGATTTCACAATTCGTGCATGAAGACTGAAATCAGCATCGGTATTACACCGACCAAGCAAATTCATTTGCGCCAAATGTTTTTTTATATTTTTCACTAAATGAAAAAACAAGCTAGCAGCTCTGCATTTGGAAACGCTTCTTTGAAAGCGCTTATGGCACCCAGTTCAAAATCGCATGAAATCTTCTCCGGGTTCGCAGCTGGCTGTAAATGTCTCACCAGACCAATCATTCGGGCATATGTGGTTTGCTGATTATTGGGCAGGAGATGTTGCTAGGATCAGGTACCTAAAATCGGATAATGAACTACTTAATATAACATTATGTATCAATAATAATATTTAGGTAATTCATTAAAAATCTTCTTAGGAACCTAATTTTTAGGAATTAATTGTTTATGCCTTTCGTAGAAATGAGAATATAGGCCAGCTAATGGTTACATATTTACTACAGCTACCAATGCTTACAGCGAATATTTAAGGAATAAGATAATTCACCCCAATTTCATACAAAGAATAGATCTTCAAAAAAATAGACATTTAAAATAGTTTTTTTTAATAATTTATTACCCACTTTAAAAAATTTACATTTGGCGTCGAAACGGCCCGGCGTCGAAACGGCCGGCGTCGAAATGTCCTCGTGTCGAAACGGCCGCGTCGAAACGGCCACATCGAAACGGCTGCGTCGAAACGTCCCATTCCGACCAATGTTAATATCCTTTTTTCCGGTTAAGCATACATCCACAGGTTTTTTTCATGGATGTTGACACTTGGATTGCTATTAACAATATATATTTACTGTTTTTGTTATTAATGTTTCTATTTATATTGTCTTTCCCATCCGTTAAATGGTTAGTGTAAAAAAAAAATTGTTGCTCTGTATGCTGTATGTATATTCGTTGCAGACAATTATTAAATAAATAATTAAAATGTATAAATTTAAATCGCTTTTAATTATCATAACAATAACAATAAATACGATCAGCAATAATTAATCAAAATAAAACTATTTACACTTTAAACAATATTATATACCAAGCGATTCAATTGCATCTTTAAATCGGAGGATGAAGACAGTTGCTCAAGCGTAGTAGGAATTAAAAATTTGTAATTTCCAAAAATTTGTAAACTGGGCATTTTTAGTGTCTAAAATGGAGGACTAAGGTACTTGTTTTCATCATCACGGATCACGGTGTAAAAAAGTACTTTTGTAAATAAAATTTCTAATTTAATCAAGCTTTTCATGGATTAAAGTACCATTAACGTTAATCCACTGGGGATTAAAAGCTATCAAAGTAAGATTTATTTTTAACGTTCCGTAAACTGGGGGACTTGTAGATCTTAACTAATCATTAAGAAAAGCTAAATATAATTTTACTGTAAATGTCCCAGTTTTCATTACACACGTTGATAAAGTGAATTTTATAAATGCATAATTTTCTAAATATCTTCCCTTACGGCAAGAAAACTATTTTATTCCAAACATTTTGAACTCCTTTATATTTCATAAAAGTTATGATTAATAATTATTCCTCACACAATTTGTCACAAAAAAAAAACTCTCTGTAAAACATTCAATTTCCGAAATTTTTCAGTTTTAGTCCTACTCAAACATGAAACTATATACATTATAAAATTCCCAAAAATGCAAATTTTATCAAGGGCCGATTTCATAATCAAAATTAACTAATTAGACCATTACGTCCCTAAAATCTTTCATTAGTTAATGGACCTTTTAAAAGTTATTATAAAATTACAAAATTCACTTTATCATCCTGTAGAATAAAAACTGAGACGTTTACAGGAAAATTATATTTAACTTTTCCTATTAATTAGTTAAGATCTACAAGTCCCTTTATTTATGGTTTTTTATTCTGAATCATCCTGCATATTAAAAGATTTTTTCAGCCTAGGTCGAAAAATATTTACACTGACAACTCACTTCATGTTCTAACAGCGTTAATTTTAGATTTTTAGGTTTCCTTTCAAAAGTAATAGTACCTATTGTTACTTACAGTTTTTTGCTTATATACAGGTTAAAATGCACAATTTTAAGAAGTGATTAATGAAGCAGAATAGGAAAGGGAGATTTACCTAACTTGAAAGCCACTTCAAATCCTACACTTCCTTGAGAAAATAGGATTGGAAGGGTCGTTATAGGCATTCAGACATTTCCTTGGTGCATTGGCGACAGAAGGGGCACAATAGATCTTTTAGGTCGCAGTGTATTAACACCCCATTCCCAGGGCCGCCGAGAGCCAGGCCGGGCCCCAGGACAATTCTCTAGATCGGGCACCTTGACAATTTTATAAAAAATATTCTCTCCTCTTTACTTAAATTTCTCTAAAAAAAAAAGTTCTTCAAACAAAAAATTTTCCTCTTCTACTTGAATTGAATTTTCTAAAAAAAAGGTCCCTAACCTAAAAATTTCCTCTTCTTGTGTCGAACTTCTCGCCACGGTTACCGGCTCTCCTTATACCGCTGCCGGGCCCCCATTTGAGTCCGGGCCCCGGGAATTAGTCCCGGCTGTCCCCCCCTCTAGTCGGCCCTGTCCATTCCCAACATAACATAACATAACATAACATGAAGCAAAATAAAGTAAAAAAGCATCCTATAGTTGGGTTCTAAAGTTTGCGGATATGAATAAATCTAAATTTTGAACCTTATAGCATAACATTGTACATACGATATACGTTCAAAGTCCGTTAACTTGAAATAAAAAAATGTTTGTTGTGAAGTGCGCAGAACTAAGACTTTAGCGAAGACGTGGCAACAACGCCAACAGCTACCGGTCTTTTGGTCAGGTCAGGTCTGATGTGTCGCGGGGGAAAGGGAAGAACGGTGTGACAAGACGGGAGGAGACAGACCGGCTTTAACCCGCGAAAGGTGATAAGTAATTTTAGGTTTGTTGTCAAGTAAAAAAATTTGTAACAACGACTAGAGTTGTGGTTGATGTCCAACTCAACTTGTCGTTGCTCTTTGCTGTTTGAAGTTGTGGAACGTTGAACTAAAGAATATTTCCAATATACCAGAAACCCCATTATTTATCCTGAGGAATTGGCTCATTACAGTTATCACTTAATTTTCAAATTTGCGATATTCGGACGACTTCTGTTTAGAAGTTAAAACTAGGTACTTAGATAAGGTACTGTAAATTATTAGGAAATTAACTTTGTTTTCCAGCAAGCAGCATAGTAACATGGTATCTGAAAAACCAGATAACGTAAATCAGCGAAGAAAACACTATTCATGTTTCCAAAATTTTAAATATTATATCCTAGAATACTGCCAAGAAGGATCTCTTCATGGACTCAAATATCTAGGAGGAAGTACAACTCTAATAGAGAAGTAAGTTGAAATATCTGATACAACATCCAACATATGACTTTCCTGTAGAGATATAAAATAAATTGAGTACGGCCCATTTAATCAAAAAGTATTTAAAATATGAAACAAAGACAAAAATGTTCCCTAAATTTTACTCGAATCATTTTTTAATACCTTGATTGCCAACGAAAATACTTTCCCTCAAATTTCTCCATATGACACAAATGATAGAGAATGACATCACAAACTACTCTTATTAAATTAATTTTCTTCTCTTATCATAAATAACATAAATATACCTTAAAGTTGAAAAACGCTCCCCTTAGGTGCTCCGACTAAAAATTTGATGTTTTTCTCTTTATCGGTTTTTAATTTATCGTGTATATAGACATACAGCATCATCGCGAAAATAGATTCAGGGGATCCCAAAAACGTAAAGATCAGTCAAAAACTCGGGATCGAAAAATTATGATTCCTATTTTAACTTTCCTTATTGCACATAGGAAAGTAAAAATGTAGTAATTACTGTGTTCTCTATTGGCAAATAAGGATAGAACTTACAATTTTCGATGAGTATAAAAACAGTTTTAAAATACAGATTAATAAATATCAAATCCGGTTTCACCGCATCTAAATTTTTAAATTATTGTGACCGCAATAGAACACAAAACTACTACTTCCGGTTAGTGTAGTGGGGGTAAAGTCTGTTTAATTTTTGCGAAGTACAGCAGCGTCATCGATGACCACATGCGCAGAAGACAAATTTTAACCGCGACAGTTAGTATTGTGTGCTTTTTTTAATTTTTTTTGAGGGCGGCTCCAGGAAGAGGGCCATGGCCTCTCACGAAAATAAAATTCTTACAGTCCATTACCCTCTTTTTAAAAAAAAATATACTAAAAAGGGAACGCCGAATGTCAATGACCCCCTCAGAAAATTCGGCCTGGAGCCGCCCTTGACTTTTTTTTATCTAAATGATGCACTTAGGGCTTAAAGTAAGTTTGAATATGAAAACGGTTGACCATGTTTATTTTTATTTAAACATTCGAATGATATAAAAATTAAAAAAATGGTAGGCATACCAGGTGACCAGTGGCGGCTCGTGGTAATTTGAATTGGGTGTTCACTTTTTCCAATAATTTGATCATTTTTGTAAGTTCGGCCCAAAACTTTGTAAAAGAGCCAATATCGCTGTTTTTATTATTATTTGAGTTTGTATTAAATGTAGTTATTATCAACATCATACTATTTTCAAGCACTATAACTATTAATAAATGAAAATTTTAGTTAGTGTGATATTTGTTTTGTTTTTAATTCATTGAAAACCACCTATAAACATTATTAGTTAACTGACTTTTCTACATAATTTGAGATTATTTTTAAATATATATATATAAGGTTGATTTTTGTGTAAAAAATATTATATGAAACTTTACCTACCATTTTCAATTTTTATTGTAAATTTAATCATTTTCACATTTTGTCACACATGTCAAATAAAAAATATATTTTTTAAATACCTTTTAAAATAATAACTTTTATATAAAATAAAAACTAAAATGTTTTAAATGTTTATTTTATGAGATCAGTCCCATCACAATACATACTATTGCACAAATACAAACTAGAATAAAGATATATAATGCCAGGCATTGTAAATGATACTTTTCGCAGTTTAACAGACTCCCTTAACTACCCATTTTCTACCAGATTGTTTTCACAATCAATACCTCATCTTCTTATAGAGCTTGATTTTTACTAAAAATGTTGATATCGCTTTTCATTTTTGATTTTTTGTTTTTAATTTTAATTTCAACCCCCCTTAAATCCCCCATATTTAATTAGATTTTTTTAATTAAAGGTAGTGGTGGCTCGTTATAATTTAAAATATTAATTCCTCGATTAATACAGTGTAAGAAAGAAACATCAAGTTTAAATTATAGAAATAATGCAAAATCATGCTTACCTAATATGAGATAATTCCCTAACACCCGTTTTTGTCCTTTCTGATTTAGTATTTTCATTGTTTGCAAAAACAAAACAAGGAAAACAAAACAAAGCATGTTGTTTATCACACCCGCATAACCACGAAGTTTTTTTATATTGTTCAATCTTAAAAGGATGTTTAAACTTTCTATTTCTTATGGCACATTCTTGAACAATGTTTATCTCCGATTGAGGTGGGCCATTCTTTTTTGTAAGCACTCGATTTTCGAAATTATGTCTATTTGTTTTTATAAATTTTACCAAATACGATTCCATCGTACATAAGCACTAGTAAATTCACACAGAACCTAAGACCAGTACAGCCAACATCAAAACAACGAAAATTCGGTTCACAAAACACAACAATCCATAAAAAGTATAATTTGTAAAGGGATCTCGTGTCTCACTGAGTGTATTCTCACTTTCTTCTTTTATATATCGGTAAACAAGGATACAAATATATTCAGGTTCATATTTATAAACAGAACTCAGCTGAGTCGGAGTTGGGTAAGTCGTCCTTGAACTAAAATCAAAGTTCGGTTACAACGTCTCTAAAGTTCCAAGTGGTGCCGGTGTCACACTAGAATTTAGAGATGGATATTAGCAAATCTGTAAGTGTTAAGTAGGTACATTTACGGATTACTACTCATCTCTAAATTCGCACGATATAAACGATCCACAGGTAGACGGAATGACAGTTTGTTTGATTTGGTACAATGTTGCCAGAATATGTTTTTGTTATGTACCAGATTTTTCGAATTCTATTTGCAGTGACATCTAATTTATTGAAGAGGAAAAAAGAGGGTTTTTATAGATAACGAACCCAAACAAGGAACACAATATATTTATATATATTTTTTACACGTGAACACTGCCTCAAGCAAAATGTACTACATCTAGTACAATTGTGAATTGTACTAGACTGGCAACACTGGTTTGGCAACCTAGTTTGTGAGCGGCGCGCCAATTAATGAGTTCTTTTGACGTTTGAAGGATATTTTGGCGTGTTGTTTTCTCTTTTTAACTTTATGCATTCATCAAATCGTCTCACTCATGTTAGGCTCACTCATCATAATGCGCCACAGACACATTATACTTAGGTATTCTATGCCACAGAGACGCGATCAGCTAGAGGGCAATGATGTACCATAAAATATAGATTAACACGTATGAAAATAAAAATATTAAAATTAAATTTATATTTTTGTGTTATTTATGTAATTTTAAAATAATGTGTTTTTATGAAATTTAACTGGGTGTTCACTGCACAAATGAACCATTGGAGAAACCGCCCCTGCAGGTGACAATAAGATCAGGTCGTGGGTAATCTGTGACCAGGTCCACGTTAACATAATATAAAAGGATTTAGATACCATTTAGGACAAAACTTCTAGACATAATTTCGAATTGACACTCATACTCAAATAAAATGGCCTACTTATATTCAAGTAGCGAGCCAAGGCATCTTTCGCCGTATTTCTCATATATTCATCTATAATAACGCATCCATCTCTACTTGCATCAACTGCGACCTCCCCATACATGCACGACAAAATGTTTCATTCACTGTTGCCGATTTGCTTATAATTATACGATTTTCGTATATTTTAACTTGTCAACGTATCTTTCTCTAACTCTTTGAAATTCCGTATAATTTTCGTACATTCTGGGAAAAACTATGGATATTTTTGGATGTCCATTTATTTTAGAAATAAGTTTAGACACTTCTGAGTTTATTTGGACAATTTAATTGTTTCAGTGTGTCTTCTGCTCTACTTTTATTAAACAGTGGCTGCTTATTTTAGTGAAGGCGACACTCCATGTCAAACAGGCCCCGAGCTGGGAATTCACCGAACCGATATTAATCGTATTGTTGAAATGCACTTTGCTTTGGAACTTCTGGCTTTTGGCAGTCTGTCTGAACGAATCTACATTGCTATATTTATTCTGTCGGCAGTGTCCCATCTCACAAACCTAAAGTCGAACCTGGCAGCAACACAAATTAGATATATTCAAATGCAAAGATGTGGCTACATAGCTAAATCTACAAAGGCGTATAAAAACGTATCTTTTGTACCCAGCCACCACATAATTTCAAATTTGCGTATTGCCAACACTGGTCTCATTAGTCTGAGGAGTAGAGGTGGAAAGGTAGTATTCCTTATATTCGGTTAAAAAAATATTTGGTTGACATTAATGTGTCAGTTTAAGTGTCATAAAATTACAACTGTACACAATTTTGTCACTTTTTTATGGATTCAAGTATAACATGGATTCAAGTATACCATGGATTCAAGTAGACCATGGATTCAAGTTATACATGATTTTGAAAATCTTTTCATGTTGCATTAAAACCTAGATTTTAAAAATGTTTGCTTCACCCATTATAAATTAATGTACCTAAGATTAAATTTATCAATACTATTAACTGTACCTAAATATTTGAACGGTTGTATTTGTTTTAAATTTTCTTCTCTTAATTCAGTCCAATGCGCTTATTTTGACATTATTGTTTTTGAACTTTAGCAAGAGGGGGATATTTTTGTAAAACTCTGACACCTCATTTAGAATATTTAATTAAAACTTCAATCCAATTGTTCGTGATGTGGGTCCACATAAAATTTGACATTTGACTAAACTTTCCCAATCCTCAATTTTTTTATTTTTTTTATTTTTATTATAAAATATTTTATTTTTAGAATATGGTGGGGTATTAGTATGTTCGTATCCCTATACCTTTTTACAGTATTAGTCCTAAGCGCGTACACCAGATGGGAAAATAGACCTGTCATCGTTAGTTTTGCTACAAAAGATACGTCAAACTGGCAAGTTCCATTTCCAGCTGTTACGATTTGTTCAGAAACAAAAGCGATACCCAGCAGATATAATTACTCTCATTATTTAGAAAAGAAAAGGAAAGGAGAAAAGTTAAACCCGGTAGAGTAAGTATAGGCAATTTACATTATTGGTAACTGACATTAAGATGGTGCTAAGTCTGTAATTGACACTGGAACTACACAATCACAAACATATATATTTTTACGATAGATTTTTAGATATTTTTAATTGTTTTACTGTGTGACCATAGTTTATAAAGCAAACTATTACCAATTTTGATGTACCTAGATTTACACCCTTAAATATTCGCATATCATTAAGAAACACCCTGTATATTATCTAATTCTGAAAAACTTATTGAGGAAACAATATTTGGTTGCTTGGAAAAATATTGAGACTGTATACTTGGTCTTTATTCTCATGTTCAAATTAATTTTACTTAAAAGGATCTGAACATTTTTTTTTCATGTGCAACTAAATAATTGCAAATGGTCTCTTTATGGCCGTCAACTATTATTTACGAAAAAATTTTGGTATGGTATACCATAAACCTTAAAAAAAATTATTTAAAAATAAGACAAATATATTATGTCAAAACCTTCTCCTTCCTTATATATTGTAGCGTGAGCTTGCATCGATCCTGTCTTGTCAATAGTTCAAACTATGAGTTCAAACCTCAAAACTCAGTTATCATGGCGCCCAACATGAAGTGGGTCAAAATATTTTTATAGGTTTGTTCCAACAAGAGACCAAATCTGTACATAATCGCTAGACTCATGCGCAGTGTTACTTTGGGCGTTCCAACAAACTTTAAACCAAATACCTGATTAAAAGTCCAACAAATATTTTGACAAATTTCGGATCGGGATCAAACCGTCAGACTATAAATTTTTCTCGGATTAGTGGTTTGAGTCTGCGCAGATCACAGATGAAGAGTGTTTTATTTAAATATGTCATTCGTTTTGGATTTCTGGATCACCTACTTATTTCGCAAAATAAAAAATAACATTTTGTGTGAGTTTCATATAAAATAATGCGATAATTTTTCTTTAGACGATACTTTCAAATCTACAAGTAAAGATCATTTATTTTAATGGAAGCAGAGGAAGTATTTATTAAGTAAATATAATTTTTTTTATAGGGTATAGATAACAAATATATTTTCCGAAAGTAATGTGCATAATGACAGTCAGGGCCGACGGGATAGGGGGTAGCCGGGAAAAATTCCCGGGACCCGGGCTCAAGTGGGACCCGGCCACGGCATAAGGGGGGCCGGCAGCTTTAGGTAATGACGCTTTTTTTGACAGTCAGAAGTGCGTCCCAACAAGAATTTAATTAGAAAACAGTCTACAAATAGTGTAGGGGTCACGCTTGCGCAGTAAGTAGATAAGAGATTAATTTCGGATCTGTCATGGATTACTTGTTGGAACAAAGAACAAACCTCATATATTTTACCGTAATCTTGCGCCGGCCCTGTCTTGTCAGTAGTGCAAACCTTAAAACTCAGTTATCATGGCGCCCAGCATGTAGGGGTAAAAATTTATTTTCGATGTTATATTTAGGATTTTTGAAATCTATATGCAACACCCATTAAACATCAAAATGTTTTTATATATTGGCGATTTGTAGTAGTCTTAAAGAACACTTTTTGTCCATGTTTCATGCATAATTTTTTATTCGAATGTGTTTATAAATATTTAAAAATATAAATAATTCAATTTGAAATATTTTTTTCCAATTTTTCTTATAACTGAGATGGCTGCAATATACAGGGTGTCTGTAAAAGATCTTTACAAAAACATACCACATATTCCTTAGACCAAAATAAGTCGATTTAAGTAAAATTACCTTAGTACAAAGTTGCTTCGTTTGGGCTCCAGAGGGCCTTGAAGTTACAATTTTTAAATCGTTTTTCCCACATAAATTTAAAACGGCATATGCGATTTTGCTAAAATTTGGTATATTGGTAGAATTTTATGTGGCAAAAAAAAATATATTAAAATTTTGGCCAATAATAATACATAGGCGTAGAACTTGATTTTTTAAATAATTACACCTTTAAAAATTCTACGCCAATGGAAGAAAAGGAGTTTGAGTACGAAATTTAGATTGCGCAACTCATTTACTTTAAAAAAGGTACTTTTGATAAGACTCGATTACTCTCATGGTTTTCGCTAAATTTCTGTTTTAATAATTTAGAGTGTATAGGTTTCACAAAAATATTTATTTACAACATAATCAAAATAGAGATTTTACAAAAAATGTTCAAAATGTTCACCATTTTCACGCACACAAAGATTTATACGTCGAAGAAAATTAAAATGTATCCTTTCCATAACTTCTTCATCACCTCTAATAATTGCACCTTTAAAAATTCTACGCCAATGGCAAAAAAGGGGTTTGAGTATGAAATTTGGATTGGGTACTCATTTACTACAAAAAAGTACCTTTGATAACACTCGATTTACTCTCATGGTTTTGACAAAGTTTGTATTTTAATAATTATTGTTTATGTTCTAAAATTACTAAAATGCACATTTCGTCAAAACCATGAGAGTAATCGAGTCTTATCAGGAGTACCTTTTTTAAAGTAAATGAGTTGCGCAATCTAAATTTCATACTCAAACTCCTTTTCTTCAATTGGCGTAGAATTTTTAAAGGTGCAATTATTTAAACAATCAAAATCTACGCCTATGTGTTATTATCGGACAATATTTTAATGCCATTTTTTTGCCACATAAAACTCTACCAATATACCAAATTTCAGCAAAATCGCATATGCCGTTTTAAATTTATATGGGAAAAACGATTTAAAAATTGTAATTTCAAGGCCCTCTGGAGCCCAAACGAAGCAACTTTGTACAAAGGTAATTTTACTTAAATCGACTTATTTTGGTCTAAGGAATATGTGGTATGTTTTTGTAAAGATCTTTTACAGACACCCTGTATAATAATTCTAGATAATAAATGAACAATTGCTGTCATGTTAGTGTGCTTATGTCAAATCAATTATAGATCTAGTGGCGGCTGGTGCATAAGTTCTGTAGAGCAGCAGAACTGACAAAAAGAATGCAAGTATCATATCTACATTTCACAAATTAATTTTTAAATAGTAAATAGTGTGTGTGCAGTGCACCACTTGGACCGCCCCCGGTCATCGTTGTAAATAGCCAAACTTTCTTGTCACAAGTATTTTGATCAAAAATAAACGAAACTTTTTTAATTTCTAATCAAAATAGTGTTGACAAGAAAGTTTATCTGTTCGCAAACTTCTTAATTAATCTTTTTGACGGGCATATGCCTATCAAGACTACTAGAACAACTAAAGGAGACGATGAGTGGACGGCGGCCCAAGCAATGCAATGCCCACACACTATTTACTATTTAATAATTAAAATTAAACTAAAATTGAGATTATTCATAAAATCTACTTTATGTATATTTTAAAATGTCTAATATAAATTCTGTAAAATATAAATGAAATACTTGCGTATTTTTTTGGCAGTTCTGCAGTTCTTCATTTTTGCATTTTATTTAAAGTACAAAGAATTCAACCTTTCAATTATAATTTCTGTCCGAAAAATTAGGTTTTTTAGCACATTCAAATAAAAAAATTGTTATAAATATCTTCTGTCTGTTCAAATTCAGTTATAGTTTTTCCAGTATCAAGTACAACTTTCTTAATTTCATTATTTTTTTACAGTGACAAAATTAATTTACTGCATCCCATAACTGTTTAGAAGAATATTTGTTTTCAATTATTTTATTTTTGTAAAAGGAACATTTCCTTTTATTTAGTAGTTTATTTAATTTATTTCGGTATAGTATAAATTCTTGTTTGAGACAAATTAACAAAATAAATAATGCCGTGAAATATTTACCCTGTATACCTATACCTAATGTTAATAATTTATAAACAATTACTAGATATGTTGTAATAATTTGTTTACAAAAGATGCTAAATTTAAATAAAATGCTCACCATTTTGAAGCCTCTCATTCCTCCACGCTCTCTATCCCATTTGTTGTTCCAGTACTTCTTTCAACTTCTCCATAATATCCATTGTTTCCAGTATATTTTCCCGATAAACGCGTCCGGAAAATCTTGTACTCTCGACGATATTAATGATTATCGTATCATGTTCAATTCTATAACAACCCTTTGATACGTAGATATATCTCAGGGTAGTATATCTGCAGCCTTGTCCATTTGATCCTAGAACGTATATCCCAAGACATTATAATGTAAATGGACGTTCTACATTAACGTCAAAGAACATTCATTCTAAGATTAAACGTCTTTATTGTTAGAAGTGAAATGAACATGAACTTAGATCATTGATATCATGATACCGATTAACTTTCGAAAAATTTACGGCGATTTAAATTTGTTGTTACGGAAATTCGCTGAAAAGGAAAACAACAGTTAACAGAAAATTTTGAAAATGTTAAAAGGGGTTAAAAGGGATATTTTATTAAAGGAACTCAAAAAGACTCTGTTTACCAATATTTATGGGAGGTTCACTTTAAAAGAATATAATAAAAAAAATTATTGTCTCATTACAAATTACAGTTTTATGGAAAAATTTAACCCTCTTATCTTCGTTATTAAATGAGACATCGGAGTTTTTTGTTTATTTTATGCACTATTTTCATCATTTGTTTCTTGCTGATGAATTTTATTTTTTTAAGTCAACCTACTCTTCTTTAATAAACTTTCAATAACAATGTATTTTATTGATTTTAAAAATAAAAAAGGTTTATTTTTATTTCCGCAACTAATGAATTTTTCGAAACCAGTTTTTTAATGTTTAACCTTATGCTACTGGTTGCGTAAACTAAATCATTTTGACACTTGCTGCGATTACAAAAAATGTCACTTTATATGACAAAATTAAAAAACGTATCATTATGTCACCAGTTGTGTAAAAAAACCAAATAAAAAAAAATTTTTGGTTTTAAAATCAATAATTTACATTATTATTGAAAAATAATATGAGAGAAGGGCAGGTTGAAAAAAGACTTTGGTTAAACTTACAACCTAGTAGTAATGTTGTTTTGTTCCTTATTTTCCTTTATAAATCAGCACAAAATAATTAAAACAC